CCAAAGATTACAAAAGCAGACATACACGCTTCTGCTTTAGCTTTTACTACTTCCGTTTCGTTTTTGGCGACTGTATAGTTTTAAAGATCTGTGAAGAACTAAAGAACCTATTTTGTTGCCGCTGTTTATTTTATTTCAGCTTTTCCTTTACTTTTTCTTAAACTTCGTTTGACCACTACAGGTATCTTTATTCTCACACTTACTTGCTGAGGTTTTATAAGTATCTCAATAGCTGTATCTCTAATAATACTAACCACATTGCTCCAACTTGTATTAGGACTTACTTTCATATTCAAGCACATTTTTTTTACTATTTTTTCATATAAATAATGGAGTGCAAATAAAAAAGCCCTAAATGTAATCCAATAACGAAAGAAAAAACTGAAAACAAGACAACAAAAGGATTTTACACGACTAAGAGTCTCAAGTAGCCTAAGGAGCCACACATTTAGACGCAAATGCGAAGAAGATCTCAAAGATACCCAATTTGGTTTTAAAAATTCTGTGGGAACCAGGGAGTCACTTTTTGCGCTTTGGTCACTTGCCGTGACCAAAGAAAAGACGTATTTGCATGTTTTTTGTGGACTTCTAAAAAACATTCATTAAAATAAACTCAAACAAAACCAAATTTTTATGATAACAAACCAACTAGATCCAGACATAGAAATAAAACGTAGAATAGCAAGACTAAAACTGTTTTTATGAAAATGAAGTCATTCCTTTGCAATAATAATCTCGGTTTAGAACTAAGACAAACAATGGTTATGTTCTATGTTTGGTCCATACTTTTGTATAGTGCAGAAGTGTGGACTCTAAAAGTATCGACCATGAACAAAATTAAAGCATTGGAAATGTGGGTTCATAGAGGAATGCAGAAGATACGTTAGACAGCATAGAAGACTAATGAAGAAGTAGTAAGGAGCGTCAAGAAAGAAGGGGAAAGAAAGAAAGAAAATCGGAAAATCGATTTATAAAAAATCTGTAGCCCGTTGAAAAAATGTACAAAAACAGAGACCAAATTATGCTATTGTCCAATGAGTGTAAAGGAAAATATAACAGGATTTCTCTCACCCAAGTTTATTCATGAAATCGACCGATTGCCGCTACCAAATTCAGCTTTACTTATTTTCAACCATCAACCAACAGGTGCCGTGAGTCTCCCCTTGGTGATTTCTACCCAACGTACTTACAATTGAGATAGTTCGTGTTTGACACTTACATAACGACGGTCAGCAAAGGTACTCACTAGATTGTAATTCGTCTCTTTTAAATATGCGACTTACAAGGCAGATTATAATAAATATTGGATTATTTTCAATATTATTTCTCACTTATTTGTTTATTAATTGTTTTAACAATACCACATTCAACATTGACCTAATTTCACTTCGAACGCATGTAAAACAATTTAATTTGAGTTTATTATATGTTGGGCCTACTCCCATGTTGGACTTCGAGATTATGAGCAAATATGGGATTATGAAAATTACTAATTGGAGAAACCAAGAAATTACTTGAAGCTAAAAGAAATAACCAGGACTCCTGTGTGGTATACTAACCGGACATATTCACTGCAGATATCAACTTAATAAGATGAGACTGGTGGATGATAAACACAAACATGCAGAATAGTGAAGAAAAAGAACATAATGGAACACATTCCCAAGAGTTGTACGGCTATAAGTATAAAATGATTAAAATATCTGCAATTTTTCTGTATTTCAGAAAAGGAATAACTTATATTTTCAAGTTTGACTTCGTTACGGACATAGATCTGCTCTGAGTCAAACAAGAAAGGGGCACAAAAGATATGGAGATGTTTGATAAAAATTAAGGGTATAAATTAATAGAAGAAATTGCCACATATATATATATATATATATATATATATATATATATATATATATATATATATATATATATATATATATATATATATATAAGTAGTTAGGTATTATTGACTGACACGTTATGTAAAATAAAGTTTTATTTTGAGGATGCAGTCATTTAAGTAGGGCAGGATAAGTTAAACTCTTTGTTCTTAAATCAAGCTTTCGCAAAATTTATTTGCTTCATCAGGATATGCTAAAATATGTTATGGTAAATACAATGAAATTAGAATTAAAAAACATTGTATAAAACTAATATAAAAACTTACAACATGAGGTTAAACAATTAAATTATTAAATTCACAAAACATTCTTAACTTATCTAAATTATATTTTTATGTGAGTACAATATTTTAATTTTGAATATATTATGACATTGATTATTATAATGATGTTTGATTTATGTCAGAAAGACACTCGTGTCTGTTTTTGTTATTGATAACTAGCTCTAGATTGTTATTATACTTACGTAAAAAGTGGCGCCAAATATGAATATTTAAATTTTTGAAAATATAGTATTTATAGTCAGAAAATCATATATTAGAAAATTAAAGTATTAATTTTCGTAAGATAGAATGTAATTATAGATATTGCTTAGTTTGTTAATATCAGTTTTTTTATTAACGCATTGATATTTATTTATGCATACCATTTCTAAAAATTCTCTTTTATTTAATTGGTTTTCACGTCTTAATATATTAGTTTCATTAAAATTAAATGAATGATTATTATTAATTGCATGATCTATTAATGCACACGTATTTTTATTATTTCTAAGGTCACTTTTATGTGATGTTAGTCTACCTATTAGATTTCTAGATGTGTGTCCGATGTATGACTTATCACAATTTTGGCATGGTATTCTATAAACTACATTTGAGCTTTCCATAATGCTAATAGGTGATTTAGTTTTTGTATATAATGATGCTAATGTACAACAACATTTTTAGTTGCAATTTTAATATGAGAATAGTTAGCAAAGACTTTAGTTAATTTGGGTGTTAATGTTGGTATGTAAGGTAGTGATGTGAAAGTAAATTGAGATTGCATGATTTGTTGATTTGGTTCTATTGTTTAATTCATGTCAATGATTCTATTATTAGGATTGTTAAATAAAAATTTGTTAATTAGTTTAATTGGGTATGAATTCTCTATGTCTTTCAGTTCTATTAACCCTTTGTTGATGTTATTGGTATGTGATAATTTGACTATTCTGTTTTTTAAAACCAATATTAAATTTATTTTCATATGAGGTGGATGTTGGGAATGATAATTAATAAATCTGTTACTAACTATAGGTTTTCTGTACCATTCAGTGCTTAATATATTTTGTGCATTTCGTTTGATTCTTATGTCAAGGTATGGAATGCTATTATCTATCTCTTTTTCACATGTAAATTGTAAATGTTCACTATAATTATTAAAAGTTTGTAAAGTTCCATTTATTTTGTTTGCAGGTAAAGCAAGTATTAAGTCATCCACAAAACGTTTAATAAACTGGATATGAAAAGGCAACTTATTTAAGAATCTCTTATTAAATCGTCTAGTACATAATTACATAATATACACGATATACTTGAGCCCATAGGTGTGCCAAAAATTTGTTTATAGAATGCATTATCAAAAATCAATACATTAGAATCAAAAATGAATTCTAAAGTGCTCAAAAATGTTTTTTTGTTAATTTTGCAATTTATTTCGATTTCATCCCAGTGTTTGTTTATACTATCATTAATAATATGTAGTGGTAAGTTAGTAAATAAAGATATAACGTCAAAGCTTACTATTATATAATTATTTGGTAGTTGATAGTTATTGATAAAATTACTTAGTTTAAAGGAATTTTGTATAGAGAAACTATTATTTAAGTTATATGACCTTGTAAGAATATCATTCAAAAATTTTGCTAACTTACTGTTTGGTGAATTAATTGATGATACAATTGGTCTCATTGTTAAGTTAGGTTTATGTACTTTTGGTTGTGCATAAAAGCGTGGTGTGACAGAGTTATATATAGTGAGAGTTGAGGCTTCTTCTTTAGTGATCATTTTTTTATTTTTCAATTCGGTAACTATTTTGTTAGCTTTCTGTTGCAAGGTACGTGTGGGATTGTTTTGTAATTTTATGTAATATTTAGGATCATTTAAAAGTTCATAACTTTTATTAAAGTAATCATCTTTGTACATTGCAACAGTCACATTTCCTTTATCACTTCTGACAATGTATATCTCAGGGTGTTCTTTGATGAATTTTTTACATTCATGATAATAAACTATTTAAAAATGATTATTATTTTTATTTTTGTGTAAATAGTTAGTCATGATGTTAGTGCATTGAGCTCTGACTAAGTTTTTTTTATTTTCAGAAAATCTAGTTATTATATTTTCAATATCAGCCAGTATATTTGAAATTTTAAAATCTTTAAGTGTTGGTAATAAACAGAATTTTGGACCTAATGCGAGTATCTTTCTTATATTATAAGGGAATTCAATGTTATACTACTATATTACTTTTTACGTAAGCATAATAACAATCTAGAGCTAGTTATCAATAACAAAAACAGACACGAGTGTCTTTCTGACATAAATCAAACATCATTATAATAATCAATGTCATAATATATTCAAAATTAAAATATTTTACTTACATAAAAATATAATTTAGATAAGTTAAGAATGTTTTGTGAATTTAATAATTTAATGGTTTAACCTCATGTTGTAAGTTTTTATATTAGTTTTATACAATGTTTTTTAATTCTAATTTCATTGTATTTACCATAACATATTTTAGCATATCCTGATGAAGCAAATAAATTTTGCGAAAGCTTGATTTAAGAACAAAGAGTTTAACTTATCCTGCCCTACTTAAATGACTGCTTCCTCAAAATAAAACTTTATTTTGCTTAAACAGCTGCAATAGTTTGTCAGCCTTTGTATATATATATATATATATATACATATATATTTATATATATATATATATATATATATATATATATATATATATATATATATATTTCCCTTACGAAAACTGTTTCAACCAATGAAATTATAATTCGAATTTATTTTATTGTTTTTAAATACAGTATGCACAATTTATTATAGTACTCACTTTGTTGAATCAGTCTAAATATCATGTTATTTTCTTCTTGCGTTTCCATGGATACCAAGTCCATGCAGTACTCTCTGCAGATATTCCTACCATCTAACCAGTCTACTTTCCTATTTGCTAACTCTGGTATGCTACCACTGAAGAAATAGTTGTGACCTCTAAAGAAGAATTGTTTCGGCCCTGAAAGAATAAAATAAATTACTTAGAATATTAAGAATGTGTAGTGTACGTGAATATTAGACCAGAAGGTCATTTGTCACAAAATGCTGAAAATTTACATTATATTTCTCATTTTGTAGTTTTACTACGAAATTCACCAATTTATCATAAATGTTCCTTTCAAAAGAAACTACAACTTGAAATATTAAGTGGTTGAACTTTATTGAATACTTTTTTTATTGTTTGTTTTAGATATAACACATTATCTATACAAGAACGAGTAATACAAAGCCACTCTGATCTTCAGCATCTTTCCAATAATCTTCAATTCGGCTTTTAACTTCTACAAATTGAATTTGTTACAATAAGCCCCCGGTAATTCTTACCATGCTTTCTATCGTCTTTATTTTGTATAAATTTCTGACATATGCAGTTTTCCAATCTGAAGGTAGCTCTTTGCTTCTCAAGAATGAATTAAAGGTAAACAGCTGCAATAGTTTGTCAGCCTTTGTACTCCCCCTGGTCCTGGAGCCTTTGCATTTTTCATAAGGTTAGCGTATTTTTAAATTTATTCTGGTGTTATTTCAGTTTCTTCACGGTAAAAATATCTACAGCGAAGTATCTACCATGTAATAGTATAATAGGGTTTATGTCTTTCCCATACCAAGGGAACACAGCTCGAAACGAGACATCGCGATATAAACATCTCCAGTTTGACCAGGACGTATACGTCTCTTGCGTTGCGATGTGTAGATACTACTCTTCTAATTCCCTGGCTACAATTAATGCACCATATTCAAACGGTAAGTGTTTTTCTTTATACAGATAACATCAATGAGTTAAGGCAGGTATTTTCGTGATTTTCCAATTAATAGCTAATTTATTCACAATCAAAATATTGCGTTTTTCGTTATCATTCTAGTCATTTAACCAGTGACCTCAGTAAGGTTTACACAAAACAATAAAAATATATCAAAAAACGCACATGCTGCAATTTTAATCATATGATTATGGACTTATGGAAATAAGTCTATAATAAGTATTTTGGAAGATGGTTGCTTAACCCTTTCCGCCCGTGCCTACACAATTGTGTAGGCTATTTTTAACGAGCCCTCAGTTTTAAAACGTTCCGAACGAGCGACGATAGTTGTGTAGGTATCACAGAATAACGTTGAATCATTTCTGTGTCACGTGCTTTTGGGTTGGCGGGATATTAGTATGAATTAGTTCTTCACGACGGAAGGCCGACATTTTCGTCAAAAATGTCGGCCTTCCGTCCTCAAAAATATGTTTTTTTATAGTAAAGAAGCTTGTTTTTTTTAAACCAGTGTTAAGAATTTAATATTAGTCTAGCCAAATAATTGCAGTGTTTTCTTGTTAAATTTTAACATAGTTTTTTTAGAAAATTAACTTTTTATTTCTACTTACACATTTGTGCAGGTTGGGATTAACTGTGTTTTTTTTTTAATTTCTTGGACAAGCAAAAATATGTCGATGAACTTCTTAGGATGATGGATGAAGACTCGGAGGTAGAAGGTTTTAGCGATAATTCGGATGCTGACTCTACATGGCAGACATAGGCTCAGAAACATACTAGGATTCTGGCAGAGAGCGATGACGAGTCGGATAGTAGTGACCAGGAAATTCAGCCGCCAAACGAAAACTTGGTAACGAACTTATGCTATATGAATTTGAAAATGAAACACAGTAAAATCATGAAAATAAAAAAAAGAACAAAAATTTTCTTGGTCAAAAGCCGTTTGTTTTACCAGTGTCGAGGATAAACCAAAGAAAGAAAATTTGTTTGCAAACCAACACCGAAATATTGAAACTCTTCTAAAATATTTTTTAAATATTTTCCAAACGACATTTTTGACCAAGCAGCCTTATATTCTAATATGTATTTATTGTCAAAAAAGGGAAAGCATTAAATACGACAGCAGCTGAAATCAAAAACTGTTCTAAGTCCATTTGCTCTTTGGTTGTACTCGGTATCCTCATTTATCCTGGTATTGGAAAGCTGGGTTTAAAAATATCAAGTGTATCTGATGCTTTACCCAGGGATAGGGTTATGCAACTGAGAACATGCCTTCACTTTGTTGACACAAATTCTCCACTTGAGAATCATAAAACTAATATACTTTGGAAAGTGTAACCTGTCATAGATGCGGTACGAAATGCATGTCTTCAAATTGAGAAATCAATAAACAACTACAGCTTTGACGAACAGATGAGTCCTTTTACTGGTCGGTGCTCTTTACGTCAATAGGTAAAGACAAACCACGATCAGTAAGATTAAAAACATTTGTAGTGGCTTCATCAATAGGTGTGATGATTTTGAAATATACCAAGCAAAACAAACTCCTCCTTCAAATGTGGAATATGGACTTGGACCTTCTGTAGTCTTGAGATTATCATTGAGAACTCATTGTCAGACGGATCGTTTTTGAACTATGACAGGTATTTTACTACACCTTGATTAATAAATAAGCTTTGTGAACTAAAAATATATGGAACTGGAACCGTAATGAACAATCAAATCAAAGTTAACTTTGTGCCAGATAATCGTCTTCAGAGAGGTCAAAGTAACCAATTTTGCTACAAAGAACAAAATGTGGTAGCCGTTAAGTGGAGGGACTCAAAGTTGGTAGTTTTATTGTCGAATGCAGCTGGAGTTGATCCTCAAAGTATAATAAAAAGGTGGTGAAAAAATGAAAAAAAATGTAGAAATAACATGTCCTGATATTGTTAAATATTACAATGAGAATATGTGAGGTGTTGATATCGTAGATCAGCAACTAGAATATTAAAAATTAAATTGAATAAAAACCAGGCAATGGACCTTAAAATTAATAATCCTCTTTTTGGATCTTGCGGTGGTAAATTCTTGGATGTAATATAGAGCTAACTGTCAAATAAATAATATTCTAAAACGAAAGGTAAAGGATCTCCTATTCTTTCGAATGGAACTTGCAGAAAAATTACTCGCAACCCCTACGAAATGACGTTTTACTAATAGTGATCAAGAAGAGGAAGACAGAGAGCCTTCAACAAAAAAACACAAAATTATAGGGCTGCAATGCCAGCTGAAGATATAAGGTGGCATAGCTTTAAGCAATTTCCAACTGTAGATCAAGTAATACAGCCAGATTTTGCCGCAGAAGCACTTGCAAAAGTAGAACGCGAGTCAGGTGTTTAAAATGTAATGTATATTTGTGCCTTTCAAAGGATCAAAATTGTTTTTTGTATTTTCATACACGGTAGATTTAACATTTTGTATTACCTAAAATAAAACCTATCATACACAATTATGTGGGTACCTTTTTTTTAAACACTGTGTACAAAGATTTTTTTAATATTTTTTCTATTATAAGTAACCTCCAAGTATCATTTGCACTAAATGTTACCAAGTTTTAAAGAAAACATTATATTCAGGTCTGGAAGGGTTATGCAACAATAATTAGACCTAGCGGCAAAATTCGTACATAAACTTTTTCTTTGATTTCTGATTCTTTTTTATATATGGTTGACATATCGTTAGCTTTTACAGTATTTATAATTTCTTTGAGAAAATAACTAAAGACATACAGTCACTAAGAAACTTTGTTGCAGAATAAGAAAACAAAAAGAAGCTAAACTAAAACCCGAGACTCTAGAACAGATAGAGAAAAGAAGAAGAACGAACAGAGATAACCCGGACTATAAAGCGCTCAACAGAAGCGTTAAGAAAAATATTCGAAAAGACCTCAGAGCTTATAGAAAAAATAAGATTCTTGAAACCATAGAGAACAATAAAAACATGAAAGTACTAAAAACATGTAAATCCACTGGCAGGAATAAAATCATAAGATAAAAGACGACCGTGGAACATTGTGCTCGCATACAAAAAAAAACAAATGAAAAATGGGAAAACACCAGAAGAAGATAAAATTAATTCAGAGATGCTAAAAATGGGAGGCACTGCATTAGAAGAGGCAATGAGAGCTTTACTAAATAAATGCCTATTGGAAGGACAAATACCAAAGGCATGGAAAAATGCGGAAGTCATTCTCCTCCATAAAAAAGGGAACGTCGCAAATATAGAAAACTACTGACCAATAAGCTTATTGTCACACCTTTACAAACTACTAACCCGATCAGTAACAAATAGATTGACAGCTAAACTAGATGCATACCAACCAGTGGAGCAATCAGGCTTTCTTAAGGGTTTTAGTACTATCGATCACTTGCAAAATCCGGACAGTTATTGAAAAACCAATAGAGTACAACATACCACTACATCTGGCATTTGTCGATTATCACAAAGCATTCGACAGTATCGAGAAATGGGCTTTCTTAACAGCGTTGGACGACGCCAGAGTAGATTCAAGATATGCTGCCCTCCTTAAGAATATATACGATGATGCTACTTTTCACGTAAAAATAGATGATGATCTGGAAACTATGAAAATAGACATTGGCAAAGGTGTGAGATAGGGCGACACCATCTCACCCAAGTTATTTACTTTGGCATTAGAAAATGTTTTCAAAAACTAAATTGGGCCGAAAAGGAATTAAAAATAGATGGAGTATATCTTAACCATTTGCGTTTCGCAGACGACAGAGTACTAATAAGCACAGATATCCATGAACTAAAATCAATGCTACAAGATTTAAATCAAAATCGAATCAAATAGGATTAAAAATGAATCTCGACAAAACAAAGATATTAAGCAACAGCCTAGATTCAGCCAAACATCACGATAGATAACATCAATATAGAAAAGGTAGAAATATATATATATATATATATATATATATATATATATATATATATATATATATATATATATATATATCTAGGACATGCAATTAAAAACAAAAAGAAAATCCAAACCCTAGAAATTAAAAGAAGAACACAATGGTCATGGGCTGCTTTTGGTAAGTTGAGCTTCATTTTAAAAGACAGAAAAATCCCAATTCACCTAAAACGAAAAACGTATGACACTTGTATACTACCAGTTGCAACTTGTATTTAATTA